GGGGAGGGGGAGGGGCAGGGGGAGGGTGAGGGGGAAGGTGAGGGGGAGGGGGAGGGGGAAGAAGAACATCTAGTACGATTTGTCCAAGGCAGGGTCCGACTGTAGTCGGCCTTCTCCGATGTGGACCCCTGGATCCGCAGCAGACGGCCCCGGGCGGCGCGAGGTTCGTGCGAGCGATGGGTGCGAGAGTTTCCTGGTGGCCTCCGAGAGAGGAAGTCGTTCAAGGTTGAACTCAGGGGCAACGCTGGGGTGGGATAGGCTCAGGGGGGAAGCATCGATCGCCCATTCATCGCCGACAGAAGCCTGACTGCCCACTCCGCCCAGGGATGTGGGGTTACGCTGTCGCGGGCCCATCGCCGATCTGTTGGCGAGGTATCGCCGATACCAGCTCGAGATCCTCCTCTCCTTGGCTGGTCCCCCCTTGACGGTCCCCCTGAATCAACCGTTCGTGCGGCATAAGAAACCACAAGCGATGTCATCAATGTCGTCAGAGCAGGAACCTGCCGTGCAGTCGGGCCGAGGTCTACGATCGAGGTCGTTTCGGGGAAGGTACCCTGATGTTCTTCGTTTTTGTTGGATTATCTTGCGCAGCCCGTGGGAGGGTAAACCCGCGTGATCTTATGGCTTGGGGTGTTTTGGGCGGCGGGAGGTTCTCATGTTCTTTGAGGATGTTCTTCTGTCCTAGGTCCGTCTGCACATGGGGGGGTTGGACTGCGGCAGGCGCCGAGGCGAGAGCGCCACCAGGAACGGCCGAGTGCGGAGGAGGAAAGGCAGTGAGAGAGGGCATGAGGGTCATTGCAGTATTCTGCAGCAGCGCCAGACCCTGGCTCTCACCACCCTCCCCCCTGCAGCCCTGGCTACTGGAACAGCGGCGATTCCTAGCGCCAGCTTTGTGCACGTGCAGACTTGATACTCGCATGTAAATTTTCGGTCGTATCTCGGCCCTTCGCACGGGCCCAGACTATTGTCCAGGCATTGTGCCGTAAAACAGATTGTGCAGCTGTGCCAGACCGCTCGAGCTGGAGCGTCTTGACCAGCTGGAAACGGACCGGCACCCAAGGCCCTGCTTTCAGGGGCGCTTCGCGGCTGTCCCAGCTCGAGTATCTCACTGTGCTCCAGCTTGAAGACGTACACTAACAACAGCCCTGGATGTGGCGCAGCTCACGGAGCTTCATGACAGTCTCGGATCTCAGGTATCTCAATTCCTGCGCCGCTTACCTGCTTTTGTCTGCCAAAGCTACGGGTGACCTTTCCCTCACAGTGGCTGGTGTTGCCGACGACCTTCATCTCAACATTTGCAATGGTGCCCAAACTGCCGAGGAGCTTTATCTCCGCGTCGCCCGTGCTGCCGCTGACATCCACCCCACCGTGCCCTTCGATCCGCACGCCACGACCCTCAGAGACCGGGAACTGCTTCGGGAGTGGCGGCAAGTCAGGAAAGTCTACACTCCAGGCGATGCTTAAGAAAACCCAAGTTTTCGTCCAGAGTCTCGATTATTCTTAACTTTTCAATGTAAATCCCAAGATTTTGATAGAAGTTCTGGGTTTTATTCAATTTTCTGAGACTATGAATTTCTTAACCCATGATTTCTTAAGCATTTCGCAGGGTGTACCGCAGGAGAACTTGCACCGAAGTCTTCGTAATCCTACCCCGCTCAGCGGTTCGGAGACGCTCTCCGCCTACGAGGACGACGTGGCGGCGGCGGCGGCGGCGGCGGCGGCGGCGGCGGCGGCGGCGGCGGCGGCGGCGGCGACGACGACGACGACGACGACGACGACGACGACGACGACGACGACGGCAGCGACGACGGCGACGATGACGGCGTTAGCGAAGACGACGCCTACCGACGTCTTCCTCCGCCGCTGGAGGAACCCTGGGGGCCTCCAGAGGTCCCCCGAGAGGCCACGTGGAGCGGCCCCGAGTCGGGCGTTCCGTAACGGAGGGGCGACTGGTGGCAGGGTATCGAGAGTTGCACGAAATCGCGGGAGGACAAGGTAGTCACTGCTACCCGTCGGTCGTTGAAAGTAGGTATGTAGGGGTTTTCGGATCCCAATCTACTTTAGGCGCCTTCCTACTTAAATGACCGGGTGGTTTCCCCGCTTCCTTCCACTTCAGGGCGCGGGCGAACGCCCAATCTACTTCAACGCGTTCCTACTGCATGTTTCGACCTACTTCTTCTGACCGACTGCTACCTTTGCCGCGTTTTCGCCTTTTTGGACCTCCTGGGAGGCCCTCGTCGCCACCGCTGGATTCGCCTTGGAATTCTGGTCAGGACGCACCCCAGGAGAGGTCCGTGGAGTAGCGGCATCGGTACCCTCTGTTTTCCCCTGGGGGGTGGCCTGAAAGGGGCCCACGACGGCCCCCTCTGGGCCCCGACGGTGCACCAAAGGTTGCTACTTCGATTCTCGGGCCCTCGATCTTCGTCAGCGATGGCGGCGGCGGCGACGACGGCGCCTGGCGACGCGACCGCGGCGGCGACGGCCTCTGCGCCGGCCCGCCCGCGTGGCGCTTCTGCCTGGCGCTGGGCTGCCGCCCGCTGCTTGGAGAGAGCGCGCCAGGCGCGGTGCATCCAGGTGGCGACGCTGGACGCCCCGCCCGGGGGGTCGTCCGTCGCCGGCACCGCTCAGAGGAGGAACCGATACCGATAACCACTCCCCAGTCCCCCTTGGCACGGCTGGACTCGCCTCGAAAGCCTGGTCAGAACTCACCTCAGGAGAGGTCTGGGGAGTAGCGGCACCGGTACCTCCTTGTTTTCTTTGTAGTCGTCCGTCGTCGTCCGTCTTCGTCGCCACCGTCGCCGTTGCCGTCTTCGTCGTCGTCGCCGCCGCCGTCGCCGCCGCCGTCGTCGTCGTCGCCGTCGCTGTCTTGAGAGGAGCAGTACGGAAGAATCGGAAGAATCTGGGGGGGAAGAGTGAGAGGAGGAGGAGGAGGAGGAGGAGGAGGAGGAGGAGGAGGAGGAGGAGGAGCGAGGAGCGAGAAGCTAGGAGCGAGGAGGAGGAGAACCAGTGTAAACCCAAGATTCATCAACGATGTTGAAATTAACCCTCCCTCGAAGTTCTCTCTTCCGGAATCGTGCCACAAGGTCGCTTTTAGGATTTCAACACCGCGAATCAACATAATTACTGCACTGGCATAATCCTGAATCCTTTCAAACCATCTTTTCTGGTACGTTGATAATGGGAATCCGTGAAACTCTTTTAAAACATGTGCGCGGTGCTAAGGCGATAGCCACATTTTGAAAACGACCCGCCCTCAATCCGTGAAGCTTTTGCGAATTCTCAGAACGAATCTGCGTGGCGCTAAGGCGCGAGCCACATTTTGAAACCGACCCGCCCTCAATCCGTGAAGCTCTTGCGAATTCTTCAAACGAATGTGCGTGGCGCTGAGGCGAGAGCCACATTATGGAAACGACCCGCACCCAGTACGTGAAGCTCGCGCAATTTTTATATCGAGTGTGCGCGGCGCTAAGGCGAGAGCCACATTTTGAAAACGAACCGCCCTCACTCCGTGAAGCTCATGCGAAGTGTTAAGACGAATGTCCGCGGTGCGAAGGCGAGAGTCACATTTTGAAAACGACCCGCCCTCAATCCGTGAAACTATTTGCATTGTTTTTAAAACGAATGTGCGCGGCGCTAAGGCGAGAGCCACATTTTGAAAACGACCCGCCCTCACTCCATGAAGTTCGCGCATTTTTTTATATAGAATGTGCGCGGCGCTAATGCGAGAGCCACATTTTGAACACGAACCGCCCTCACTCCGTGAAGCTCTTGCAAAGTTTTAGACGAGTGTGCGCGGCGCTAAGGCGAGAGCCACATTTTGAAAACGACCCGCCCTCACTCCGTGAAGCTCTTGCAAAGTTTAAGACGAGTGTGCGCGGCGCGAAGGCGAGAGCCACATTTTGAAAACGACCCGCCCTTCATCTGTGAAGCTATTGCGAATTCTTCAAACGAATATGCGCGGCGCTAAGGGTGAGGAAGTCTCAGGCGAAACGCCCGGTCCGCACTAAAAACTGGCCTCGGGGTGGGACAGGGCGAAATTTTTTAGATGGAAAAGGAATGGAGGAGGAGGAGGAGGAGGAGGAGGAGGAAGAGGAGGCGGGAGAGAAGGAGGAGGAGGAGGACGAGGAGGTGCGAGGTGCGAGCTATCCCACGTGGTGGTCTGATTGAACTACGAGCGGCGTTGCTGCTCAGCCTTGCTAAGCAGTTTGGGCCACTCACCCTCATGAAGCCTGGTCAAATACTCACGGCGGTGGGGAGCGAATTGCTTAGAACACGCCTAGGCCAACTCACGCAACTGGGAGTGTGCGAAATGGCCGCATTGAGTACAAAACCATACCCTCTGCACTCTAGACAAACGCATCTTATGGGACCCCTCGACCCAGCCCCCAGCACGAAAAGGAAAAGGACGGGCAAGAGGCAGGAGGAGGAGGGAAAATGGTTGATGGAAGGAGCGGGAGAAGAGGATCCTGAGGAAATGAACACCGGGAGGAGGGCGACGTAGCGCTTCACGCATGCATCTCTGACGCAGGTATCTGCTGGGCCACGAGGAGGGGCCAATCCTGGAAGTGTTTCGTTGGGCTTGTGCGAGGCTGCATGGAGGGCCTGTCGGGTCGTCCTGGGCTCCTCCTCCTCCTCCTCCTCCCCCTCCTCCTCACAGGCTCTGACCCCGCGTTGGCCCCCCCTGACTTTGGAGTCCTTCGGGAAGTATCCCAAGGGTAATGGGGGCAGCCGCAGCCGCGGGGCCGCCATGACGGCCAGCGTGCCCCCCCGCCACGGGGGTTGGCGGGCACGCCTGGTGCTCAGGCTCGCGGCGCTGGGCGCCGTGCAGCGCTGGGCGGCAGCACCCTGCAGGCGGCGATGACGGCTGCGGACAGTCGGGAGGCCTTCGTTGCAGTCTATAACCCGCAGGCAGAATCTGCAGGCGCCCTCGAGGATTGAGGATCGGTCCGAGGCCCTTCGAGGCGTGGGGAGCATTGGAATGTCAGGCACGGCGATCAGAGCGTGGTACGGAGAACCGCATCATAAGACGACTGCGGCGAAACATCATGTGGTCCACTTCGGATGGAGTCGATCCCTGATGGTGAATAAGTCTTGCGGGTGTTGTGTGTTTCCAGGCAACGAAATACTTCTCTTTCAACAGTATCCGACGGATCGTCGCTGCGCCACCAGCCCTTCGCGGGCGAGGAGGACTTGTCCAAGTGGAGTCTGGGCCGCTTCTTGTCTGTGCTGGTATCACATTTCCCGCCGCGACCTTGGCGGCCTGGAGAGGCCAAGCAGTTGAAATCCACGTGCCGCCATTTACTGTCTTGGGCTCGCCAGAGGATCCTGGAGGTCCCCCAGGAAGCCACGCCTGTCATCCTCGCGGACCACAATTCGGGCCTCAAGCAGTACCACTCAGAGGATTCCTACGTGGGGCCGTACGGGAGCGAGCGAGAGTCTTTCTGTGGGCAGCTGATTTATGGTTTCTGGATCAGGTGCAGATGGCCGCAGTCAACGCACTGGCAGACAGGCGGCACTTACTTCGGCACGCAGAGAACACCATCGCATATTGACTTTGTGTGTGTACCGCGCGCAGCTCTGGGCCTTGTTCGTTGGTGCTCGACTTGGGTTCGGACAAGAGAACTGGTTCGGGCGATTCCTGCAGTGTTGGACCACGTGCCAGTTGTGATGCATTTCGAATCTGTGGCTTCAGTGAATACTACACCACTTCGTGCACGGTGGGGTCGCCAAAACATTCGGGAGCAGTGCTGGCGGGCGAGGGCAGGGGGGAGTTTTTGCAGGATGTCCATGACGCTCTCCTGGAAGTACGGGCCTCCCTGGATATCCTGGAATCATGGCCGACGGCGACAGGCCACGCCATCCTCCTGATGGCGACAGTTCGGGAGATAGCGCTGAAGCGCTCTTCTCAAGCTACCATTCGGCCGCAGCACGAGGTGAACCTTGAGACGAAGAAGTGAGATCTTCTGAAGCGGAGGAGGGCGTTACTGTCTCAGACGACGGCGGCGGGATTGGAGTCTTCTTCACAGGATCCGCTGGCACGATCTATGAAGGATGCTATTCGCAGCTATGCGCGCGCCCTCCACTCCCTCCGTCGACGACGGGATCGAGAGAGGCAGCAACACACTGAGGCCGATTTTCGGCAGGTCTGGCGGATTCGGGACATGGCAATGGTCCCGAGACTGGTACGCTCTTTTGTTCGGACTGGCATCGAGGTCGAGAATAGGAACTATCCGGCTCGCGCTCCTTCTCATCCAACGGGGGACGAGTGGGTTTCTTTTCTTGCCAAGCCTGCCTTGGAAGGAGGACTCGCGGGGCATCGGGTTCTTCTCCCGTTCTGCCGCAACTTGGACCCTAGCCACCTGGAGGCGCTCCGCAACACAGACGAGCACGCAGTCCCCTACATCCACGACGTGACCCCAGAGGTCCTCAAGCGCGCCCAGGTGGGCTTTGCGATGGCAGTGAAGGCCTTCAGACGCACCAAGATTGGGAAGTTCGCTCTGTAGTGGTCGTGCCCGTCAGAAATATTCAAGAGTTTGGTTGCAGCTTCCTGGCTGAGCGCCCCGGCGGACTCTGTGTACCTCGCGGAGCCTTCTGGGGCCCTCGTGGGGCCATTTTGGAAGCCTTTGGGGCTCCCTTTGGGCGCTCTCGGGGTTCTCTTAGGGCTCGCCTTGGGCCCTCCCAGTGGCCTTCAGGGGCCTGTTGGAGCCTTCCTGGGGACCATCGTTCAAGACGGGAGCGCGGCGTAAATCATATGCTTTTCGGTGGTCCTCTTCAGGCGCTCTTGGGATGCTCATTGGCGCTCATGGGCCCGTCCATCTGGGCCCTTCCAAGGCCTCTCTTGGGCCATTTGGATCCATTTTGAGGCCTCCAGAGCCCATCGGGAGCGAAGCACCGAGCATGCGCAAACCATTCATATCATTCAGGCATTCTACGGACTTGGGCCTCCTTGGGAGGCTCCGTGGCCACTTGAATTGTTTTGGGCTGTCTTGGGGCATCTTAGAGTCAAGCTGGGCGCTATCTTGAAGCCTCTTGTTCGATCTTGGGGCCATCTAGGATTGCCTGGGTCTTTTTGGGGCCATCCTGAGCCATCTTGCACGCTCTGACGACTCGCATCCCCCCCGTACAGACCCAGGGGGGGGGGTAGCGGGAGGGGGTGACACAATTCTTCCAGGCGCTAATTGTTTGGCTTACTCAGACTGGCCATCCTAACCATAAGCAAGTCCCGAGTCAGAACATTCAGCGGTCGTTTTTGGACTGGCTCGCCCAGCTTGCTCGCCTTCCTTCTTCCCCATCCTTCTCCGGTTCCTCCTGCTCAACTCCCTACTCATCCGCCACCTCTACCTCCAATCTACACAGCTCCCCCTTTTAGATTGCGTACAACACGATGGGGCCCTTCGGGGGGGGGTTCATGCCCGCCATGACAGCCGCGGCGGATCGAGAGGAACAACCAGCGCAATGGGACGGGATTGGCGGGAGGGGTATCTGGGCGGCTATCGAGTA